ATTAACTTATTCATGGCATCTTAGCACCCACGAATATTGGTGTAAGAGTCATACCCACCCACCCATCTAAAATATTATTATACAGATATTTCATGCACCCAAACAAACAAATCAAACTATATTATCAAGTAAGTAGGAGCTCTTACATTCTTATCAATAGCAGTGTGATATGTGTGCATAAGTTTTTCTTTTCGTATTTTTAATGATTTATTTTTGTATACGTGTCAAACTGTAATTTGCATGAAGGAGGAGCATCCTTTTACTAGTAAGAAAGCAAGTAGTGTCGGTTCATTAATTTCGAATTCAAAGTTTTCAAATCAAATCAAATGCACTTATTTTGTGTTTGTGCGTACTCGATAGTGTATGCATGCATTATTACTTACAAATAATCTTATACAAATATGTGTCTTGCATTATATATGTGATGATCAAAATTAAAATATATCATTAAAAAATTATTACATTATATATATGTATATAGGGTTTAGGGTTTATGTAAGCTCTATGTATATACACCATTAGGTTTATTAAAAATTGATACCTCAATCTTTTCCAACTAAGGCTATTATAAAGTTTGTTGTTTTACATGATTTTGAGCCCCTTCTTCTTCACATGTGAATGAGGGCACGTGGATCACCTGCAAAAGTTAACCAGAAAAAAATATAGATGTATGTTAATGGAAGTTGCGTAAGCTTGGCCTGCAAACTTTGGTTGTTTTGGGAAATGTAGGTGGCGTGGACCCTCTGAGTTTTGGCCTGGCTAGACCCCGGCCTTCACTATGTCATTATATATAGGGGAATGGCCTGCCCTGAGCCCTCCCTTGTGCTTTTAAGGTCCCCCGTTTGCTTAGCTAATTGTTGAATCCCATATGCACCAAAATTTGGCCATGTGTTGATGTTGCACTAACTCCGCACCACCCTCTCGTACTTCAACAATGTGTTCACTACCTAAGTTCTTTTGCAATTACCTTAATTATTCCATTCATTTATATTAAGAAACCATATCTATAGACAGTAGAATGCAAGTTTTATGTTATTTTTATTCGTCAGACAATCAGTTAATGCAAACGCTTATGTTGTATGACTTAGTTCTTGAATTTAGGCTAAAGGTGTCTACATAGATGCACTGCCGATCAATAAACTGATACAAATTTATGTTTATTTCATTCGGTCGATCAATCAATATAAACATAAACACTTACCCATATGGATAGGTAGGTATAATTTAGTACAGTTGGAAAATATATCCCAATTTAAAGATTTTATTAGAGAATAACTTCACGCATATCTATGTTCATGAAGCACGAAGACGGAAGATCGTGTAAATTCAACTGAGATTTAGTGGGTCCAGAACAAAATCTTGCAAGCTACTATGAAGGGAGGCCTGGCCAAATCGGACGGTTGGAATCATCCTATGAGCTCACATTGATAAAAACATATTCACTTTGACGATGTATTGATATTATATGCATATATGGAGGGGGAGGAGGTTTTGAAAGTGATGTGTAAATGTGTTGTGTTGTGTATGACAAAGTCATCGTCCAAGTTGCTCTTAAATTCCTTTTTGCTGACGTGTGGCGCACTATCCACATGCGGTCCACGTCAACATGGGACCCACTCACGTGACATCATCTACATCATCCTAGGTTAGGCGTATGGCGGGTCGGGTTGGGACGAATTTTCTGATCTTTTGATCAGATGGACGGCTCTTATTGAATCTGCGATTGGGATTCTTTTCTTCCTTGGTAGGGTTTTGGACGTGATGGATGGGCATGCGCATTGTATGACGTGGGTCCCACCCTACAACGCTCCACCACCGCCCAAAATTTTTAGACGAGATTTTCAATGGCTGGCCATGGCTCTTGTGCTTTTGGCTTCAACATCACCGCACACGTGGCAGCATGTCAAGGATTTGCTGTTGTTGTTTTTTCACTGGGGTGTGGGGCCTGCCTTTTGAAGATGCGCCCACATCTGACGGCTTCTATTCGCGGCCGATTTCGCTAACGGTACTGATATGGTACAGTTGCTTGTAGTCTACTGCAACTCTATACAGTAATAGCCACGTATATTTGTGGAGGAAAAAGTGTAGATTACTGCACTTAAAACTTATTAACGTTTAATCTAGTTATTAATGGAAATGCTTTTATATAATTTTTTTTTTAAAAAAGAATAAATAGTTCTCAAAGTTGTTCAAACAAAAAAGATTTTTTTAAAAAAAAGAATAAATAGTTCTCAAAGTTGTTCAAACAAAAAAGGTCCCTTGTTTACCTAACACTTTCAGAAGTGATGAAAATGTCTTTAGACTTCAAATGGTAAGGGGACAACCATGCAAGTTCAAATAATCTTATTCATACAATTTGCGGATAATTTGTTGACAGAGTAGGACAAATTGTCATTACTTTACAAATAATCTTTTTCATACAATTTACGGATAATTTGTTGACAGAGTAGGACAAATTGTCATTACTTTTGAGGTTTACACTTTAATTTACTAAGTTAATTAAGTTATTTTTTTAACACATTAATCAAACCGAAGGGTGTTTCCCACGTGTCTATGTTAAGAGCTCATAGAATTAAATAAAAACAAATAAAACACTATCACATTAG